TGGCCTTTGACCCGAACATGAAAGTTGCTCCATTTTGAGTCCCGAACATGGTTCCATCAATGGTTTCTTGAATGAGCAATCCCATCGCTTGTTTCACTTGCTTTGCCCTTGATCGCGTTATTGATCCGCCATCGACTATCAACGGGTCTCGTCTCGCACTTACCTTCGTCGGGCTCGACTCTTGGATCATATCAATATCTAAGTTATCAATTAAACTAGAAAGCGATATAACTAATTTTTCAAATATGTTAAGTATCGCTAAGATGTCGAATCCCCTTGCTAATCCATTTTTAGCACAACAAATTATGGTGACAGTTTGACGTCATTCTTGTTGGTCAATATTCCTAATTTAATTGAAAAGCTCACTCGATAGTTATCAAATCTATTCTCCTCGTGTGACCTTCCTATCTCTGGATGAAAGATACGAACATGATAAATGCATTAATAGATCAAAAATACCCATCCTCTATCGAACTTTACGGTGTTTATTATTTTTAGCTATAAACCTATTATCCTCTCGATAAAAATAGATTCCAATAAATCATCTCAATTACTAGCTAATTAATTGAGAAGTCAGTGAAAACAATAATAAACATCTAAGAAAACATACATACTAAATGTCAAAATTATTAATTAATGCCAAAAATCTAAAAACAAGTGTTCATCTCATCCTAACATTGTAAAATTCTAGCCAAGCATATTGAAATTACAAGAAATTATTCTAAATTTAATGAATGTCACCCAGAAATCAAATAATTGAAGAGAACGATGAATTCTTGATATCTCTTCCCAATTCTTATGTAAATTTCCTAGTATGGGGACTCCTTGATGATCTTTTTGCAATTTCTCAGTTGAAATCTCCATCAAAGATGAATTTGTCCACTTCTTAAAGTGATTCTCTCAAAATCACCTTGTTCTTGACGTGTTTTTGTGCATAAAAGATGCTCCTTAATGTGTAGGCTCCTTAATGGGTATGGGACGTTCTAGTATTTATATGGCTCGTATCTAAGTAAAAAATATCACCCAAAACCTTGTCAAATTGAGTTTTAATCGTATAAGGAAACCTGAGTTTTGGTTGAAATATCACATTTTGTGGTAACATAGTACATTGGGATGCGACCATGTAATGCAATTCTTGAACTCCAAGTTTGTCCCTGCATGATAGGATGCAACCGCATAATTCAATTTCTTTCTATCAGACAACCTTTAATATTTTGGTCATATCTTTCTCTATCGATATCTGATTGAAGTGATTCAACATAAATTGGAAAGCTAACTCAAAGCATTACCATTCTTTCAAAGATATTATTTTTCTAATTCGAACATTTATTATGCCAAAAATGGATCTCAAACAAAGATTGTAAATCTGAAGCTTAACTTTTTTATTTGAAAGTTGATATGTGATAATATTTTGACTATATTTCATCCATTTGACTTATTTTCTCATCCAATTGACCCCTAACACTCTCGAATATTCATCGTAAGATTTCATACAACTTTTTGTATTTGCACTTTAGTCCTTAAGCTTTTATTTTGCTTCATTTCATCCTTTTTTTCTTGTAATCTTGTTTCTTTATCATACAATTATTGTATCCAATTAAAGTCTTGACATCTTCGATCTTCATTTCATCACCTGTCTTATCTATGAATTATTTGCAACTTGGTCCGTGACTTTTGGATTTCACTCTTTTTATGGATTTTCCTTTTGTTTCTTCCAATTTCTTGTTCAACCATTGAGTTTACCTATTTAATATAAAAATTTAGACT